TTACCAGATTACAAGATAGAAGCCATTAAGAAAGAAAATGCACTATTTCAACAAATTTCATAATCTAAATATTACAAAGATGTAGAAAAACTTAAAATAAAAGGCTATAAAAAAAACCTTCTGTAATAGAACTGCTTCTTGTGGATAGACCTAGCATCCAAGTGATGTAAAGAAGTAAAGAGGCAACTGGCAGGAAGAAGACAAGTAGACAACAACCCGACTTAAGTGCAAAAATAGAGAAGAGGATATCCCAGTAAAGGAAAAAAAAAACATAGACGAGGTACAAAGCTCATCAACCAAGTATAGTTATCTGGATTTACTGATAGAGCCGCCTGCAATGTCATAATCATCACAATAAGTCCCTTCCTCCCAACACCTAAAAATTGCCCGAAAAGAAGAGAAATATAATCAGATTGTCGACTTAAAATGGTTATACCATTTCATAAATTTGGGAGGTAAATTTTAGCATTTTCATGTAACCATGAACTGAACAAAGTAGAAAGAATAGAATCCACACCAAAATTTAATAGAAATCATTGGTTCCTCCATCTCGGTCCGGTAAGCACAGGTATAAATATGGCATTGCTTGCAAATCTATACAAGTTGCTAATTAATACCCGAACAAGAAATAAAATGGATGATGCATTCTGTATGTAGAATGTTTAACCCATAATTACCTCGACCATCGAATTGAACATGATTCTTGGACGAAGGAAAGAAACTTTGTTATGTGAATGCAACACTTTGTGGTTGTCACCCTACATAAATAAATTTATTTTTGCGATAAATATTTTCTTATTGAGATAACTTCATCATATACATATACTAACCATTAGGAGTTGCGAATATGTTAACGGTGCATTCACGCAATGCTGTGACCGTTCATGCACTTGAACGACGTGTGCATCAGCACCCACATTACTTGGCTGTGCCTTCGGCCTATTTCCTTTGGATGTACTCGAATGTCCCTGCATGACATTCAAACAAGTTAGGTACATTATGTAAACAACCCAATGCAATTGGTAATGTAAACGTGAAATATACCTTTGCCTTATTTGAATTAGATTCCAACGGGCTCTTCTTACGAAGTTTCCTTGGTGCGCCTTTTCTCTTTACACATTTAGGATCACGTAATCTACTATTGATAGTTTCCAGTGATATTTCACATTGTGACGGTACCAGTACAGTATGCGGAGACAAGACATTACTTGCACCATGGGATTTCGATGTCGTCACCAGTTTACATTCATGTTCGATCCATTTTTGTAGGTTCTTTGCTTTGCTTTCATCATCTGCGACCAAGTCCGCTAATGTAGCAAAAGACTGACACAATTTGTCATACCTCAATTGTCCCGTGTACTAATCAAGCCATCGTAGTTAACAGCAACCCTCGTATGGGCTCTACTTACATCCCTCCGCCACCTCCGTAAAATATACCTCTCCGATATTTGTTTGACGCCATTACGGATCAATACCTCGATCACGTGCCTGCATATTATTCCTTAAAACTCAAATAAGTGACAACTACAAATAATATCACAATCTTCTTTCCAAAAAGAGACGAAGAACCTTTTTTTCCATGATCACTCATCGTTTATCTCTTCCTCGCATGCCTCGTATGTCATCCCCAAAGGTCCCTCTGAAGAAGATATTAGATCACAATAAAGTTTCCCGATTAACTCTTCTTGAACTTCTCAAAACTTTGAAATGGTGTAAACGACTTGAAATTGCTTCTCCATTTCATACCTCGTTGCACATAGTACTATCTGTGAGAAAGACTTAAACTATGCTTGAATCTCCTTCCCAACTTTATTCTTCAAAGCTCGTTCATATTGTTCGACAAATTTCTTTAATGAGATCTTGGAATGTACATACCTATCGAAGAACGCATTCATACTTTTACTGCGTTGGATTGTCGACATCCCTGCCCAGAAACTGGTTTTGAAAAAGCATGGAACCCATCGACATCCATTCTCATACAGTCCCGACAACCAAGTATTATCATGCAAATCATATGTGTCGATCATTACCATCCAACCTTGTTCAAAATCTTGAACAAATTGTGAATCGTAAACCAAATTGTGAATAGTACAGAAAATCGAACCCTTATCGACGTGGTATCTAAATTTTTCTAGTAACTTTTTCAGTATGTGTCACAAATACCATCTATGCTTCGTATAAAGGAACACGATTTCAATTGCATTTTGCATAACTCTGTCTTCATCTGTAATTATACCCTGAGGAGCTTCGCCATGCATATATTGCAGCCAAGTCCTAAAAACCAAACAAATGTTTCCGTATTCTCATTTCACTCCAGCCCACATCCGAGCAGGGTCGATTATCCGTGATGATTAATACCAACGAATGGGCAAATGACATATCATACCTATTGGTGAGGTAGGTGGTATCAAATGTCACAACATCACCAAACTCCTTATAAGCCTGTCTATCCCTATTATCTACCCAAAGCACATTCTTTAGCCTCGAATCTTCATCCAAATCCATACTAAAATAAAACCCGGATTGTATTACTACGGTGTCTCCTTCTCCAATTCCAAGACGCCGAACTTGTTCAACATAGTTTCGACAATCCTTTTCCATGCATGTCATATTTTCGTATCCACCTGCTTCAACTATTGCTGAGTTGAAACTTTTGTGTAATGGAATTCCTGCCATATCATTCATTTCCATGCATCGTTTAACATGTGCGCTCAACTCTCGATTGCATCAATATAACCTGGATTTCGATGGACTTGTTTTACGATTATGCTCGAGGTTTACCGTGTTAATTCTCCAAATTCCACGACTATCCATAGATTCAGTAAGCCTCGCTTTACAACCTGTCTGAATAATTGGTTGCGGTTTCAAAGAACCGCTTGTAGTACTGCTTCTTTTTCCTTCTCGACTACATGTCAATGTGACATATCTCACAATATTGTTGTCGTCCTTTTTCAAATTTCTTTTTCTAACTGGAAAACCTTTGGCATTTGCATATTTTTTGTAGTAATCAAACAATTCATTTTCATTGTTGAACTCCACACCGACCTCAGGTGCTTGCAAAGGCGCACCATCTCTTACTACAACGTCATCACCTAATAAGTTCACATTTTCGGCAACATTCTCAGACTCAGATTCTACCAAAATAAGATCATCCCCATTGTCTAAAATAGCTTTCCCTACAACATAAAAGTAGGTGCAATGTTACTGGTAATGGTGTAAAGTAATCAATAATTGATATAAGATACTCATTTCAAGTTATATGAAACATTTAAGAGAAGGAAAATGCTGTCGGGTCAAATTGACTGTTGTCATTTTGTTGGAATACCATAAACATTAATGAACCGGAAAATTGATTTTTTTTCACAATAAATGTAAACTTTCAGCAACTCCCAACACATATTTTCAGAGAAGGAAAAATATTGTTGCCGGGTCAAATTGATTGCTATCATTTTGTTGGAATACCATAAACATTACTAAACCGGAAAAATGATTTTTTCACAAAAAATGTAAACTTTCAACAACTACTAATGCATCTTTTCAATTAACTCAAGAGTAAGGTGAACAACTCCCAACATTGCATTTTCGACCAAATCAAAAAAAGACTCATTACCTTTCTCTGCCATCTTTTTGATTTACTCAAGAATAAGGTCAACAACTCCTTATAAATGCAAACATAAAGGAGGGCAGCGTTAGCGTTAATGGTGATCAACTGAGGTGGAAATTTGGGGAAGAGAAGATCTTTTACCGCTCGTTCTAGTTCTGGAGGCAAGGAGAAGAATGAAAATAAATAACCAGCTCAAATTGATTACTTGTATTGGGCCCTTTTAATTCGGTTGGTGGGTCGGGTCCTAATTCTTCATCAGTCCTTGCAAATCTACCGATTTCAAATGTTTTCAAAATGATAGAATTTTTTATTCATTAAATCCACCTCATTCTGTCATGAATCATGTCACCCACCAATGTACAAATAGTTTTTTTTTTTTTTCAAATTAACACGTCCTTGTTTGAGCTCCATTTTGAAGAAAAATGTATTGTTGAATAATGATTTTTTTGAAGAATGTGTGGTTAAAAAATAGGAAATTTTTTCGATTTACGTGTAAAATTATTTTATTGGAGAATGTGTTGTTAAAAATGAGTTTCGAAAAAAATTAATTTTTAGAAAAATAGAGTTCAAACAAGGACATAACAAAAATATAATACTTAAATGTTTATATATATATATATTTTTTTCATTGCATATCGTGGGAAAAAAATGTGTAACGATGGTGCATTTACAGTCGCACACCTCGTTACTTTGTAACTAAATTTTTTTCAATTACTTCATTTCATAAACTATTGTGCTTAATTTTTTTTATTAAATAATCTTAGATTTTGATCTGCATAGCTAAAAATACTAGCCCCGTTGCTTCGTAACTAATTGTAGAATAATTTACTTCATAAGATTTGGAGAATAAGTTTACGATAAGCAGTATAGTTTATAATAAATACTGTAGAACAACATCAATAAACAGGATTAATTAATTCTGCACATATTTCTTAGATATCTTTTCAGATCGGATAATAATTTAATTATTGCAAAAATATATTTAGTCCCTATTTGAGGGGTATTATTTCCTCATAAAAATGGTTTTTTTGACCATTGGTGCACAATCTTTGAAGGCTGGTGATATGCAAGTAAAAAATAACGACTGTGTGGGGTTCAATAACGATTGAATTTATTTTGAAAATGGGAAAATAACCTCCCTCAAACAGGGGCTTAAGCTTATTTACAATTTGCTTGACAATAATTACTATGTAGTAATTGGAATTTTTCAATTTCTCTTAGGCAACTAGAACAATAGAAATGAAGAGGAGCGTTCCTTGTTCGTCTCCAAACCAAAACACAATAAGCAAAGTAATACCAAGAGTGATACGATCCAGCAAGATTAATCTATTTTTCATTCCGACTCCTAAAAGATATTGTAAGCAAGTATTTATACAACATATTCGCACGTATAATATAGAAAATCTCAAATTCATATCAAACAAACATTCTATGTCACATTAGAATCTTTTTCTAGGATCCTTAAAATCCCATATCCAATTACACAAACATGCATAAGCCAGAAAAATCAAACCCTAGCCATGACAAGAAACTTGCACCAAAAATCATATTTTCGGACAACCTAGTACTAATTATCACACACTTGACCAATAAAATCAAACTCACTATCAAGAACAAATTAAAGAAACACAATTCAACACACACTTAATTCATCATTACATGTCCCTAACTTCGAATTCATTGCGATTCTTAACAACAATATTATACATGTGCATGGGCTTAAATTTGTTGAAATCTTTAGGAAGAGAGATGAGATGGACTGTTGATCTCTTGTGGAACTGAAGAAGGCTAGGATCATCATAGTACCTCTCCCATCCAAGCGATGATAATTTTCTTTCGAGAATAGCATACGATGTAATAACATCGTTAGACAGGACGTGGACTAGCATTTTCCGGGCATGGCACTCACCGGGATTTTCGACTAGTCGAACAACACCATTCTTGAAAACCCAAACACCGGACATTTTTCCAATGGAGCTAAAGAAGATGAAAAATATAAAAGAGAGAATGAGAATCAAATGCAATGGGTGGTATGTGATTCAAAGATGAACTTATGAGCAAGGGCCAAGGGGTCCTGCTGAATGTGGATATATGTAGAGGATGCTGTAGAATTTACTATAGTTATTATTATTATTATTATTTCATAATTGAGGAGCATAAGAATTTATAAAAAAAAGTACTTATATTTTTCATGACTAATGACAAAAATTTGATAGGGGTTTTGTATGTATATATAAATATAAATCCTTAGGAATAAAGACTTAATGGTCCCACATGATTCGATATCCCCTGACTTTTGTCGTAATGGATTCTTAAGAACCTTCTCCTTATATCTTTAATATTAATATAATATAGTAAATTAATTACTATTATAGTAATTAATTAATAAGGATTCTAGTGCATTTTAGAAAAGAACAAACTTTATATGAAAGAGGAAACCTATCTCATTTAGATTAGTATACGAATTGGATTCAAAAGGATAAACTTTTAGTAAAGAATGCAAAGAGAAAACCTATCTCATTTAAATTAGTGTACGAATTGGATTCATCATGCAAGGTATAAACTTCGAATAAAGAACACCGTTAAAATTTAAAGAAAAATAAAAAAGAAAAAGAAAGAAAGAAGAGCAACACACACTAATTAAGAATCCTATATATTTCATGATTATATGCGTCTTTGTTAGAAATGATTTATTGAAACTATTGCTTAGCAACACTTCATATCAATAAATCTAATTATTTATCTACCAATTACTTGATGTTCCGTGTCTATATATGTGTGTGTTTGTATAGGTCAATTTGATCATCTTATTTTAATTTCTCAAACTAAATAAAAATCTACGAATTGGAATCCACATATATATTGATATAAATGGTGGTGGATAACAGTTAGGGACACCCATTTGCGAGTATGTTATTATGTATCCTACCTTTTCAATATGAAGCTTATTCCATCCCCTCGTTTATCAACCTTGACCTATGTTCCTTTTTTGAAGTCATATCTAACTATTCAGAGTCCATCTCGATTTGATACTGATATCGTGCCCCCACCCAAAGAGGGCTTTACCTATATGTCCATTATATAAGAAAGTGTATGCAAATGCAGGCTTCATGCATGGCTTGGAATATGACAAAAGCTGCAACTGTCAAAATCAAACTCATGAAAAACAAATCCAGAACTCTTTTTACCCATACAATATGGATAGGATAAGAAGATGAAGTTTTTTCTCTCAATTTTCAGGACTTTTTCTTAAATTTTAATTTCTTTTTTCTTTTGTCTCTTCAATTGATATATCGAGAGGGAAATGTCACAGTAGCCCATTCAAGAAGAGAATGGGGTTCCAGACCCTTTTTTGGAAAGTTTGTTAGTTTGTGAAAACATTAGAGCATGTGTTGATAACAAGCCTTATCCTACACAAAGTCAATTGGCTAAATTCCAATGAATTTCCATCTGCCTACAGTGCAACAAATCCAACTCAAACAATTAGGACAAACAAAAATCTTCTATGTACAGCTTTTCAAGCATGTGTTCTTTGGATTCTTATGGCTGCTTACTTCATAACAATCCCAAGAAAATTCTACAGGCTGTAGAGTGCCTTTAAGGGTGACTTTATTCTTTCGATTCCAAGAAATAATGCAGAAAATATAAATTTGGAAACTTACTACCTGAGTTTCTATTTTTAACCACTCCAACTTGTTGAAATTGACATCAATTCCTTAATTCATCCAGAGCATCCTCTTTCAAAGAAAATTTAAGAAGGCTGAATAATATTTAAAAAGATTGAGAAGAACTACATAAGAATTTACTACAAAAGTTCTATAAACAATAGAGGTGGGCAAAAGAACTAGAACCATTAGAACTAGACCCGCAGTTCAATCGATTCAATTCGATTCAGAGTACGTATATTTTCAAATGACCCTTGTTCTTAGAACCCAGGATCAGTCGATTTGGATTTCAATTTTGGTTCTAGACGTAGAGAATGGAGAATCTAGAGCCAATTCTAACCTCCTCCTCCTTCTTCTTCTTTTTATTTTTTTATTTTTGATTTTTTTTTTATAAATTTCCTCCTGGTTCAACTACCTTTTTCATTTTTCAATAAACTTAACTCATTTTGATTTTTGCTGTCTTACGGTAATGAAAAATCAACCCTCTTGACTCTTTGTCATTAATTATTTGAAAACTTCGGTCAAATCAAACCAAACCAAATCGGAGCCATTCAGTTAGGTTGCAAGGTTACAAATGGTTCCATTATTAAAAAAACAAAAAATTGATTTTCACTATGTGAAACCGAACCAAATGGAATCATACCCATCTCTAATGATTGAAGAAAAGTCATGAACTATATCAAAGACATAAATATTTCATTATATAAAAAATTAATAATCATATACAATTTCTCATTTATCTAAACCTAAAGTATTGTAGGAAAAATAATCAAATGTGCCCATATCCAAAAATTTCTACGCCCCCCCCCCAACCCCCCCCCCCAAAAAAAAAAAAAAAAAAAAAAGATTTATCCAAGGACGTTATAATTATACTATTTTCTTCTCACATACATAAGAGCAAACCAAGTCAATATATAATTGATGATTGCACTATTTTTCCAAATTTTCTTCACTTTCCAATTGTTAGACCTTTTGGCATATTTTTCTTCCAAGAAAAGATACCTATTTATTTATTTTTATTTTTGGCAATTTTCCCAACGCAAATCACTCGGAGCTAAGCAAAGAATATTTTTTAAACTTTACATCCCCTCGTCATACTCCTTGTCATTATCGCTTGAGACATTTTGCTGGCTATGATCAGTTTCATAGTCACTCTTCTCGTTAGAGTATGCCAATCGCAAGGATATCTCATCCCTTAAACTTTGGACAGCTAAATTTTTCCGATTTGTATGTTGATGTAATAGAAACTTGATTCTTGAACTCTTTCTGGCTTATTGCTTCTTTGACTTCAAATAAAGGAGTTCTTATATATATATAGACACGTGGTGATTAAAATTTATTTGTCCATTAATTACTCTTCTTGCCTCGTAATTAATCAATTTGACTTAACAAGACTTGGTTAGAGTTAGAATTTCCCATTTTAGCAATGAATATATAATTTGGATCAAAAGAGGACATTTTATGAAAGGGATTAGTC